ACCTGGATACTTTGTCAAAAATCAGTTGGCTGGATGTGGATGGGTTAATTTCTGGATTCTCGATTCTGTTCCATTAATCAATGTATCTTTCATTGTACCAGTACCAGCTGTTTTGACCACTGTTGCCATGTAGTAAATTTTGAAATTGGAGGGTGAGAGGCATCTAACCTTGTTCTTCTTCTTAAGCAGTGCTTTGCTTATCCTGGGTCTCTTTCTTTTCCATATGAAGTTTATAATTGTCTTTTCCATCTCTTTGAAGAATGTTGTTGGAATCTGAATTGGGATTGCATTATATGTGTAAATTGTTTTGGGCAGTACTGACATTTTCACGATGTTGAGTCTTCCTATCCAGGAACATGGTATGTTCTTCCACTTCTGAAGTCTCTTTTGGTTTCTTGTAGTAGTATTTTGTAATTTTCTTTGTATAAGACCTTTAGTTTCTCTGGTTATGTTTTTCCTAAATATTTCATCCTTTGGGTGACTATTGTAAATGGTATTCCTTTCCTAATGTCCTTTTCAGCGCTTTCGTTATTACTATAGAGGAATCCAACTGGTTTTAATATGTTGATCGTATACCCTGCCATTTTGCTGAATCTTCCAATGATGTCTAGTAGTTTTTTTACTTAAACATAATTTTTGATATCAGATTAGTAGTGCATGACCATTTAAGGGATTATTCATGTGTTCTATGGAAAGAGGTGAATGACTTTATACAGCTCATCTTTTTGAGAAATCACTTCTTACTCTTTTTAGTTTATTTAAGAGCCAGGAAGAAGAGCAGGTGTATTTTGACTTCTAGAAGGTTCTGCAACACCAGATTTTGACTTTAATTTAGAAAATGTTGTTGTTGTTGTGTTGTTAAGTGTTGTAGACCCACAGCAACCCTGTATAAGGTTTCCAAGGAGCAGCTGGTGACCTTGAACTGTCCACCTTGCTGTTTAAACCAACTTTGCAGTCCAGTGCATTAACCCACAGTGCCAAGTAATTTCTAGGTTTAGAAAACCCTCTACATGTTTCTTTTTGCCCAATTATTTAAAATTTGATTATGGAATATTCATTTGAACTGTAGAAAGGAGCATACAAGAGTATGCTTACTCTCATTGCCTCTTCTCAGGAACAATCACTGCTACTAGTTGTTTTATGTCTACTACAAATATGTTTTCTGAATAGACATAATATGTGTTTGACTTCCTGTTTAGAATGTGAGTATTTTAAAAAATTATCCATTTATGTTCATTGAAAAAAATAGTCACCATTTCATTTTAAGAAGTTGAAGAAAGGAATGTACATATATATATACTAATATTTTGATTCCATGAAGATCAGAAATCCTTGCAGTGGAAATATATATGTACAGTCAGCAAGAAAAACAGCCAAATTCCTGCCCAGCCCACTCCATTCTGTCACCCTGCCAGCATGTTCTTTACATTAAGATACAGATACAGAGAGACACCAGATACAGAGAGACGGGCGGAATGAATGGCCCCCAGAAAAGTGTTTTCTGTGCATTAATCACCCCTTCCATCCAGTCTCAAAAAACTTGTTCCTGTTAGGCTCATTGAGAAGGGTTATGCCAATTAATATGTAATACTTACTGAAACATTCAGTCTCTGAATTTCTCTCTGAGGCATCCTCAAGAAGCAAAACCAAATCAACTGAGACCAGAGATCAGCTGCTGTGGGCACTTTTGTAACTTCCTCTTTGTTTCTTTGCCTACTCTTTGTGTCTGGTTGAAGGGAAGAAGGACAGGCCCAAAGAGAAAGTTTATTTATTTTTAAACTGCATGTTAGCTCATTTCTTCCTGTTTTCCTTCCCGATTTTGTAAATTGCATTTGTTGTAAAAATTTTGGGTAAAATAGAGAAGTGTGAAGAAGAAAATAAAATAACCCATAAATCAACCCAGAAAACCACATTATTATTTTAGCTATATAACCATTCATGCCTTTTCTATTACACATACATATACAAGGAGCCTTGGTAGTATAGTGAGTATGAATCGGGCTGCTAACCTCAGGATCAGCAGTTTGAAACTACCAGCTGTTCCATGGGAGAAAGATGCGGCTTTCTGCTCCTGTAAATCTTTACAGCCTCAGAAATCCTGTACAGGGTCACCATGAGTCAGAACCAATTCCACGGCACGTCACCACCACCACCATACACATACACACACATAAATACACAGTGTAAGCAAAACTGGCATACGTTATATATGGTTTATATGTTAATTATATCTTATAATACTAAATTTATGTTTTGCATCTTGGTTTAGCCCTAATTTTTTCTTGTATGGTTAAACACTCTGTTGGGGGTAAAAAGTTCGGTAACCTCATGAGAGCCTGTCATAATGGTATATCAGTTTACTTATTCATTTTCCTATTGATGGACATTATGATGGTTTTGATGCTGCGATGAAACTGATTCTTATGTAACATTGATTGATAAAATTTTATATGCAGTCATATAATTTGTTGTTGTTAAGGGCCACCTAGTCAGTTTTGATTCACAGCAACTCGTAATAGGTTTGCCAAGCTTGTCAATCTTTACAGGAGCAGAAAGCCACATCTCTCTCTCATGGAGCGACTGGTGGAGCTGAACTGCAAGTCTGTGATTAGCAATCCAGTGCTTATTAATCTATACAGACCCACCATGTATAGAACATACCAGCTGGAATTATTTATATGCTTTATAGATTTAAGTTGATCTTTATTATTATTCTATTTCATTCATTTGGTTAATTATTTTACAAAGAACTTGAACTCTGCAGAAAGGACAAATCTACTTTTGCTTCTAGAAATTAGGTACAGTAGAAAAAAAATAAGAAAGGTACTCACTAACTTGTCCTTGGAACTCAGCTGGTAATTAATTATGTATGCAGCTTGCCTTTATTAAAGAATGAATATATTTGTAAAACTGAAGTTAGCATTTTAATTACGTTTTGTCTGTCTCACTTGGATACTGTGGCACAGAAGCCTGTGGTATATATGAAACCTGGGTGTCGACTCGCCTCCTCCAATCAGATGAAGTTGTGGTACATAGGCAGCTCTCCAGCTCTGACCATGAGCACCGCCTCCTATGGAGTGGGGCAAGCTCTGTGTGTGTGTGTGTGTGTGTGTGTGTGTGTGTGAGGACCAGGGCTTCTGTGTCCGGCATGTGCCCACGTGCAGGTCGATGAAGAGGCCTTAGACTCAGCATTGCTCCCATAGCTTCTCATCATTGCTGTGAGCTCTTGGTGCATCCTGGGCTTAGCCCCAGCAGTTCTAGGAGTCACCTACAGATGGCCCAACTCCTTCTATGGTCCTGCATAGCTCTGGTCTTTACTGCTCAGGGAGGCAGGCTGAGTTCGAAGATCACGTTCTTGAAAGATTTGCTTTCTGAATACTGACCAGTCATCTTCAAATAGCATCATGGCCAGGCTGACTTCAAGAGTTAATCCTTACAAAATCAAATCTTACCACAGTAAATGGTACACTTATTGAGTACTTACTATATGTCTGTAAAAATCAAACCTTACCACAGTACTTGTTCAATATGTATGCTGAGCAAATAATACAAGAAGCTGGGTTCTATGAAGGAAAACGTGGCTTCAGGATTGGAGGAAGACTTATTAACAACCTGAGATATGCAGATGATACAACCTTGCTTGCTGAAAGTGAAGAGGACTTAAAATATTTACTGATGAAGATCAAAGAGCACAGTCTTCCGTATGGATTACAACTCAATGTAAAGAAAACAAAAATCCTCACCACTGGACCAATAAACAGCATTCTTATCAATGGAGAAGAGATTGAAGTTGTCAAGACTTCATTCTTCTTGGATCAACTATCAACACTCACGGAAGCAGCAGTCAAGAGATCAGACGACGTATTGCATTGGGCAAATCTGCTGCACAGGAACTTTTTAAAGTGTTGAAGAGCAGAGAAGTCAGCTTGAGGACTAAGGTGCACCTAACCCAAACCATGGTATTTTCAATAACCTCATATGGATGCGAAAGCTGGACAGTGAATAAGGAAGATCGTAAAAGAATTGATGCCTTTGAGTTGTGGTGTTGGAGGAGAATACTGAAAGTGCCATGGACTGCCAAAAGAACCAATAGATCTGTTTTGGAAGAAGTGCAACCAGAGTGCTCCTTGGAGGCCAAGATGGCTAGGCTTCGTCTCTCATACTTTGGACACATTGTCCGGAGAGAACAGTTGCTGGAGAAGGATGTCATGCTGGGTAAGGTGGAGGGTCAGAGAAAAAGAGGAAGACCCCCAACGAGATGGATCAGCCAGGTGGCATCATTGATGGCATCAAGTGTGGCGGCGGTAGTGAGGTTGGCCCAGGATCGGACATTGTTTCGTTCTGCTGTGCATGGGGTCACTATGAGTCGGTTCCGACTCGATGGCACCTGACAACAACAACAACAACCACAGTAAATGGTACACTTATTGAGTACTTTCCATATGTCTGTATGATCAGCCCTCATATATTGAATGAGGGTACTGAAGTTTGACACATGTTAACAAACATGGCCATGGTTACTCAGCTAACATGCGTGGAGGCAGGCTTTGAATCCAGGTCTCTCAAATCTAAGGCCTGGGTGCTTAACAAAAATGTTGATTTTCAGATGTATGGTGTAGGGTCGATTTGTAGTTGCTTTAGCAATGTACGGAGTTATTTTCTTTTTCTTCAGATGGGGAATGATGTAAACTATTGATTCACTGTTCTAATAGATACCTTAACTTTTTGGAAATGAGCTATCCTGTGTAGTTTTCTTTCCACATTCCTAATGAGAACATCATTTTAGTAGCTTATATAGTCTCAAGTTATTGGAATAATTTTGAATTTTAAGCATGACAGAATTGCATAGGTCGTCATTTAAAAAGCCCTGCAGTGCCAAATCTGTGAATGAATTGAGCGGGGCAGGGTGGGAGAGTGGGGCGGGAAGTCTTGTGAACTGATGTGGCTCTGAACTATTGGAATCACTCATACGAGCTGTTTTGACTCCTCTTCTCCTTTAGGCAGAAGGTTATGTAATTGGAAGCTGCATCAAACACATCCCAATTGCAGGTAGAGATATTACATATTTCATTCAACAGCTGCTAAGGGAGAGGGAGGTGGGAATCCCTCCTGAGCAATCACTGGAGACTGCAAAAGCCATTAAGGTAAAAACAGATGTAAAATTGGTGGTTTTGGGGGTGAGAATAAAGTGGTATTTTACATATGTCTCCTGTATGCCATTATCCCTGTTCCTAGCTTCCATCCCATAAATGTGTATCTTGATTTACCACTTGAGTTAAGTAGGCTGAGAGACTTAAAGCTTAACCTTTTCTTCTAAATATACGTGTTCTGTTGAGGTTCCAAAGTTAGTATTTAACTGTAGATGAGGACAGCTTGATAACCAGTAGTAAGTATAAGTGTCGATAGTACAGCATCTGTTAATTGGACCCTAATTAGACAGAACCCTCAATTAATGGAAATTTTCTTCAATATCTTCTTCCATGTTAAGAATTAAGAAGCAAACAACAGTAGCAGTGACTATCGGGAATCTCATGAAATCAGCCAGTATTCAAGTTAGCTTCCTGTACTATCATGTGTGTTCTCATACCCTGAGAATTATACTTACAGAATAATGCCATTCCAGGACCCAGCATCATTATAAACAAAATTCACCTGTAGTAACTGCAGTTACTCTGCTGGAGAACTTAGAGGAAGTTTTATTATTTAATCAATAAGATTAGGAGTAAAATGTCTGAGTGGCTCTTATTTAAGTTAATCCATTAAACTTGATGTAACAGCTTTGTTTTTATATTACACTGCACGTATCAATTCATAGACCCTTGAAAAAGTACTGAGCTGCTAACCTCAAGGTGGGCAGTTCAAACCCACTAGCCGCTCCTGAGAAATGCTTTATAGGTTGTTATGAGTTGTTATGAGTCAGAAGTGACTCATGTCACTTAACAACAGCATGCAACTGGTGTCCATGCTGAGATGGAGAAGGCACTGATGAGGCTGGAGAGAGGTCAGTGGACTATGTGGGCTATAGTGAGAAGTTTCAACTGCAATAGATGCTACTTAAGAATTTCAAGCAAGGAAGTGATACCAGCTGATAGGGTTTAAAAAGATTTCTTGCAATGTGTAGCAGAAAATAGATGAGGGGAGAGGGCAGGACCAGGTGTGGAAGTGGTGAGCCACAGAAGAAGTGATGGTGACTTAGACTTGGGGTGGTGTGGTAGAGAGAAGTTATGTAGGTTTAAGAAATATTTTGTAGGAAGAACTCATGGATAGGACTTGCTGATGGTTGGAAGTTTCAGGTAAAAGAAAGAGGCAAAGGTGATTCCCAAGTTTTGTATGACATTCTTGGTGGACTCAGAGACTTTATAGATCAGGCTGTATTTGTGCCTGTAGGGTCTCCGGTAGGTTGGGTGCTACCTGTCCTGGTTTACCTGAGCCTAGGGATTACAGGTATAGGGACTTTTCATTGCTAAAATTGGGAAAGTCCCAGGCAAATTGGAACAAGGCGGCTACTGTGTAAGCTTTAAGTTCTTGCACTTTAGGGAGAAGTTTCCAAAAGTATCATAAAGGTTTTTTTTTTTTTTTTTTTTCCGTAGATTAAAATATCACTTATGGCTTTCTCTCCTCCTTTCCTGGCCACCTTCAATGACAGAAAATTTTTGATAATTGACCCAAGCGCCTTTGCCACCCCAAACAAATGTAAATCAGAATGAAATCTTTTCTTATTGCCTCTGGGTGGTAAATCTAATGCATCTTCTTTTTTCAGTAAAGATGCTTGAATGTCATTACTAATAAGGTTAGTTTCCTGATCCTAAAGTTGAGTATCTACACTACTCACTGGTGTCAGAGTTCTAGTCCTGTTCCTGACATGTCTGTATGTTCAGGTTATGACATCATCTCTCTCCAGCTGTAAAATAGACTCCTTTTATACTCTCCAGATCAGCTGCTCTGAGCCTGTTGCATGGGTTAGCCCTGCTGTTTGTTGAGGAGACCCCACGTTACTAAGGGGATTGTCTCCTGTGGTCAGAAGTAGGTATTAGTTTGCATATATCTTGGTGTTGTTGTTGTTAATTGCCATTGAGTTGATTCCGACCCATAGTGACCCTGTATAGGGTTTCCAAGGATTATCTGGTGAGCTTGAACCACCAACCTTGCAATTCAAACGACTTTGCAGTCTAACACATTAGCCCACAGCGCCACACCAGGACTCCTAGTATAGTAGCATAAATTCAGAACTTTAAGATTAGCACTGCTGCTCTATATCCAGCTTCCTATGAAGCATTCCATGTCATCAGTTAAGTGATTGAGATGCCATAACAAATGGACCAGGTCTCTAAAGACAACTTTCTGTTTCTGCCTCCAGTTTTTAGATTTAAAGTTGTATTGACTCACCCATTCTCTTTGTGTGTTCTCAGAGAACATGAGGTTGTATAACAATTCTGGTCTATTGATTTTATTCTTGACTACTGCTAGAGAATGTCAAAGATATCGAGGAGATAGTATTATAATATGCTTCAGGATTCTAGGAAACTTTGAACTTAATAAATACAAAGATACCTTCAGTGTTCTTTGAGGGGGTCATTTACTCCAGTTGTACACTGAGCACCAGCTTTGTACCAGAAACTGAGCTGGGCACTGAACAAACCATTGTGGTTCTTGCTAACAGGAAGTTTGCTTTTAGAAGCTGGTAGGGTGCCTGACACAGGCTGTTTTGCTGAAGTTCTAGCTCTCAGGACAGATGAGAAACCCAAACATCACCAAGAACCTCAACTAGCATAACATAGTTAGGAAACACTTTGTGCTCTGGAGGCTGGCTCTTGGTGATGAAAAATCACTGGCCAGTTCTCTTGTAGCAGAAGTCTACTGGCGTACAGTTAGCATTCAGTCTTCCCATCTCACTTCCCGTTTTCTTTTTTCCATGGTACTCATCACCCTGCAATACAGAGTGAAGTTCTACTGGGCAAGCCCCAGGGACTGCTTGACTCACTTATGTATTCCCAGTGCTGAGGTACTACTGAGCACTTGCTGGTTGAATGACTTAGAACACCTAATCAGCAATGTATGCAGAGTCCAGGCAGACCACTGGAGCAGAATGAAGCTACAGTGTCAGCTAGGAGAGATGAGAAGGTTGGTGGTGAGCACTCCTCAGTGCAGATAATGTCCTTGCCTCTCAGATTCTGATATTCAGAGAAGCCCGTCACAGTAAAATCTGCCACATGTAGACATTGTGGCATAGGTCTTTTCTGGGCCAGAAAGAGATGATAGTGAGGGGTTTGCAGAGCCTAAGAGGAATTACAAAAAAGCTAGATGGAGACAAAATACAGACACTTTAGAACATTATTTCAGATAACATGGCAACAAAATGAGATAAATTAAGGCTGAGATGACTCAAGGTGTAAAGAAGGACTGACCTGTCCCAAATCAAAGCATGTTGTTGTTATGTGCCATGGAGTTGGTTCTGATTCAAGGTTTCTAAGGAGCGGCTGGTGAGTTAGAACCACCAACTTTGTGGTTCAAACAGAGCTTAAGGTCTAGTGCTTTATCCCACAGCGCCACACCAGGGTACCATAACCAAAACATAGACTGATAAAAAGCTTGATTGTCTACCCTCTCATTGCTGTGATGGTGTGGAGGCAGGGTGTGGGTTTCGCAGTGTGTCTTATGCATGTGTGTACAGTGTGTTTGTCAGAGGGAGGAAACAGAAAGTTGCTAATGCCTGGTGATGACTTTATGTGTGTATGCAGGAGAAATACTGTTACATTTGCCCTGATATTGTGAAGGAATTTGCCAAGTATGATGTGGATCCCCGGAAGTGGATCAAGCAATACACAGGTATTAATGCAATCAACCAGAAGACGTTCATTATAGATGTTGGTTACGAAAGGTTCCTTGGACCTGAAATTTTCTTTCATCCCGAGGTAAGTGATTTCATTTTTTGAATGTGTTAAAGTATGGTATCCATGGAGCAATATTGCCACCTAGTGTAGTTTTTAATAAAGGCAAAATCATAAAAGTGGCTTTCAGTAAGTCTGCGTCTTTGCAAACTTTTCCAGACCTATGTGGTTTGGTTGTTTCATTTGTTTTCTTTATCTATAGACTTGATTATTTTCCTAAGTAGTAGGGATTTCGTGGTTAGGAAATTTTAAGAGGAATTGAAGATAACTGAATTGAACTTAATCTCAAAGGGGAAGCATACGCTAATATAACAGATCTCAAGGAGCTCTGGTAGCATAGTGGTAATGAATCAGGCTGCTAATCTCATGGTCATCAGTTCGAAACTATCAGCTGTTCCACAGGATAAAGATGAGGCTTTCAGCTCCCATAAAGATTTACAGCCTCGGAAACCCTGTACAGGGTCACTGTGAATCGGAACCGACTCCACGGCACATAACAACAACAAGGACTTTTAGAAGAAAAGCCTGTGTGTAAAAGTGGGATAGCTTATAACCTTTTATCTTTTGTGATTGGCTTTTCTAAACTCAATTTTTACCCAGAACAGCTCTCCCACTTGTGTTCCATGCTGCACATTAGGTAAAGGTTAGATCTGAAGGCTAGATTCCATGATTTAGAGTGTTTGTGGTGCTATGGATAAGCACTAGACTGATAACCTCAAGGTCAGTGATTCAAACTCACCAGCCACTCCTCGGAACCCCTATACAGGGTTGCTGTAAATTTGAACCAACTTGAAGGCACTTAACAACAACAAGAATAACAGGGACTTTTGGTGTGGTGTTGTAGGATAAACACTGGGTCCTTATCTACTTGGTCAATCATTCAAACCCACCAGCTGCTCTTGTTGTTGTTAAGTGCTGCTGAGTTGGTTCTGACCCATCGAGACCCTGTATAGGGTTTCCAAGGAGCAGTTGGTAAGCTTGAACCACCGACCTTCTGGTTCAAACTGACTTTGCAGTGCAGCACATTAACTCACAGTGCCACATCAGGACTCCCTAGGAAACCCTTTATAGCATTGCTATTAGTCACAACTGATTCACTGGCACTTGAACAGCTACAGCAAGAATTACAGCCTTTATAACTTTAACTAGTAGTCACAAAGAATAATTACCTTTGCAGAAACCAGTAATAAAGAAACAGCGTTTTCAAGTTTAAGTGAAATGCGTTTTATTTGTATGTATTTCGGGATGTTTTCCTTCTAAGTCAGTTTATATTCAGAAGTATGGTATGAACTACTATTTATTTTTAGATGTATATGTAACTATTTTGGAGTCCTGGTATGGCACTGTGGGATCATACACTGGAATGAAAGGTCAGTTTGAACTGCAGGGTTGGCGGTTCAAATTCACCAGCTGCTCCTTGGAAACCCTGTACAGGGTTGTTAAGAGTCAGAAATGACTTCATGGCACTTAATGATAACATACAACTATTTTACACAGGGAAATGGCTCAAATTATAACCCTTACTAGTAATCTAGTAATAGCCTACTCACTCATTCACTCATGCTTTTCTATTACACTAGTTTAAAGTCGTCATAAAATGACAAATGTCTGGTGAACAGCTGATGAGCACTGGGTGTTAAAGCCCTCTTTCCCCATGACTGTTGCACATTAAAGCTCTCTTTGGTTTTTAAAAGACATTTCAAAGGTCCTATAATTAAATTATGTGTACTTTCGCTTATTTAACTTGCAGAATTAAGCCTAAAGCTTTTTACTGAGTGACGTGATTGTTATTGCACTGATGGTTTAATGTTAAAGACATCAAACAAAACACTCCTCCTTCCCTGTTTGTTAGTCCAGGTTTACATGAACATTTTATAGAGCAAGTTTTTGAATCCTTTTATCCTGGCTAATTTTTAAAATACTGTTAATTCTTCGTTAGTATTGTTTGTGTGTTTCTTATTATATCTCTCATATCTGCACATGCTTTTCATAAGCTCTTAATGGAATGACCCACCTGTATTCATAACATAGGACTGGCCTGTCTCCTTCACTAAAGCCACACATTTCATGTCTTTGAGGGGACACGTTACTGTTACACAATGCACAGGTAGTCAAATGGGATTAATTCTATAAAGTCTAGTGTGTGTGTGTTTTTAAAGCTACCGTAGATTTTTTGTTTGTTAAAAAAAATGTTTTTTAAGTATTTTTGTTTTGTCTCATTTGAGTGAAATGTGTGATATCTCTTTTATATTTATATAAAATTCAGTTTGCCAACCCAGACTTTATGGAATCCATTTCGGATGTGGTTGATGAAGTCATACAGAATTGCCCCATTGATGTACGCCGTCCGCTGTATAAGGTATAGGCTGCTTGGGTAAGGTACTTTGACTTCATTCCAAAATTAAAGACCCGTGATTTTTAGAATAGACCATTAATGGCAATCTGCAAACATTACAATTTCACTTTCTGTTTTATGAGCATTATTAAAGGCCAGTACAAGTTTTAAAGATTTTATATGGAGCGTGAGCGGTTTAAATTTTTGGAAATACGACTGCATTAACTAGAAGTATTTAATTTAAACACTGTTGTATCTTTTATTCTTACCTGGCAAGCTGTGTTGTAAATGGAGCCGTTTTAGGCATACATGATAAAGAAGTATTCTCCCTTATTCTTTCCCTGAATGCCATTGGTCATGTTTCGGTGGATGTTTAGATTCAGTGCCAAATGTAGTGTTGTCAAATACAACTTAGAGTCTGAAATGGAAATACTTGTATAATGCATTAAAAAAAAAAATTCTTCTTGTGGCATTGTGAGACTTTAAAGGAGAAGGATCTATTTCATCTAGTTATTTTTAAAAACGAAATATTTCTGATCACCAAATATCAAGAGCAGAAAGTGGTGGTCAGTTAGCTTCCTTTACGTTTATAAAGTCATCTTTGCTCGGTGAGTCATACTGTTAGCACCGTGACTTCATCTGATCCTGTTCAAGCCCAGGTAGCTGAATCTTAAAGAGAGAATCAAGTTCAACATGAAGACTCAATAAATTTTGCTACGTCTATACAATTGCTATTTAGCCTTTGAAAAAAATAAGGTACACCAACGTAAGTTTAAATGAAAGATGTCAGTACTGTGTATAAGTTAAGTGAAAAAAGCAAGGTGAAAATTTTACATACTATTAAAAATATGGTATTTATAACATAAAGAAAATGTTTTAAGTGATGTATACTAAACTCATAAAAGTAAATGAACTATCTTTGGGGACAGGATAATAAATGATTTGTTTTCTATTTTATGAAATTTAATAGTTAACAGATATTTTTATAATTAGAAAACATGTTCCTATATGTTGTTGCTAAGTGCCGTCGAGTTGGTTCCAATTCATAGCAACACTGTATAGGGTTTCTAAGGAATGGCTGGTGAGCTTGAACTGCTGACCTAGCGGGTCAAGCTGCATTAACCTGCAGCACCACACCAAACTATTTTTATTTGTTGTATATCCTTAATAAAATAACTTTTCCTCCACTCAAAAAGTACTAAGAAAGGGACACTAATCCTCCACTAAAAATGTACTAAGAAAGTGACACTAAAGAGATAATGTTATCTGGAGAGCTAATCACACTTCCACCCTGAAAGAGTGGGCTCTTGCCTTCTACTGCTTAATAGTCTGGTGTTGCTGGGTTTACATACAAGCAAAGGTTTATTGTAGGAAAGAAACTTGCAAGTAGAGACAGAGAGGGCTTAATACAACGCTTAGTAGCTGATTCCTTGAACAAGGTTTGCTGGGGTTTGTTGTTGTTAGGTACCATTGAGTTGGTACCAACTCATAGTGACCCTATGCACAACAGAATGAAACATAGCCTGTTCCTGGGCTAACCTCACAATCATTGCTATGTTTGAGCCTATTAATGCTGCCACTGTGCCAATCCATCTTGCTGGGAGTCTTCCTCTTTTTCTCTGGTTCCCCGGTTTATCAATCATGATACCCTTCTCCAGTTACTGGTCCCCTCTGACAATATGTTCCAAGTATGAGAGACGAAGTCTGGCCATCCTGGTTTCCAAGGAGCACTCTGGTTGTACTTCTTCCAACACAGATTTATCTGTTCTTTTGGCAGTCGATGGTACTTTTAATATTCTCCTCCAACACCATAACTCAAAAGCATC